TTGTAATATTAAAAAAATTAATTATTTTAATAAACCCCAGAACTTATTGGATCCGAACCTGAACTGTTCCATAATTAAATTTGGACCCGAAAATTCCATTTACTAAATACCCAAAAATTTCTGGAACCGAAAAAAACTAAACCGAACCGACTCGCGCCCCTCCTATGAAAATGCAACACCCAAACAGTATGGACCATTTGCACCAATTAACCTTAACTGAGAAAGTTGTTTTTAGCTTAAATAAACTTTATTTCCTTTCCTTATTGCTCAAATAATTACATGTCAAAAATTTCTGTCAAATTAACTGCTGAATTTTCATAAAAATAATAAAATTGATCAAAATTTTGATAAGAGGATGAAAAGAAAAGAAAATTCTAAAATGTCATTTTTGCATTTCATAATTATTAAAAAAAAAAAAAAATCTAGAGCCTCGTGAATTCTTCAATTTAACGGCCACACACTGACACACAAAACATAGGCGTCATAGCCATGTCCCTCCTCCTCCCACCACCGTCGCTCTTCCATTCCAACTCCGCCGGCCAAAATTTGCTAACTGTTGATGCCACACGCTCCTTTTACCGTTCTAAAGCTTCATGGCAAGAGGTATATTTGGATTTTGTCGACACTTATGTACTACTGTATATCTTTGGGTTTTAGTGGCTCTTCGTTTATCCAACAAGTGTTGTTTTGAAGGTTGCTGGTGTTTTGGTTTTCTCGGCAATTCCATTCACGGCGGTGAAAGCTATCGCCAATAGTCCTCTTGGGGAGGCGTTACAGAGGCGAATGGAGGAAAAGAAGCAGTTTTATCAGGAGAATTCTTCAAATTTTAAGGCACTTGCGGACGAGGCCAGAATGGATAGGTGATATAACTTATTACGCATTCACAATTGTGCCTATTTCTTCCATCGCCTATATTATGAGTAATCGTTGACTCGTCATAATAGAATTTTGGGGGGAAAGATACCAAGAGTGAGTTTGGGACACATTCTTTTGAAAGAATGTATTATCGAATAGTAGATTGATGGAGAATGTGTGGTTAAAAATGAAAGAAAGGTTATTGATGTGATGAAAAATATTATTTTATTGTAGAATGTGTGGTTAAAAATGAGTAGAAGAATGAGAATGAAAAAAATAATGTGTACAAAACAGGGCCTATAAAACAAAAATCCCATATTTTACCTCACTCCTTTAAGGTTTCTTTTTTACCCTNTAATGTGTACAAAACAGGGCCTAAAATTGCTACTTTGCCAATTTTTTATGATTATGTTATATGTACTTCCTCTGAGATAAGACAGAGATTGTACTATGGAATTAGCAAGATTTGTTTGTACATATGCATCTGAATTAATTAGCATCTTTGGTAATATTTTCAATTTTCTATTATCCATACATTATCTGTACCGAGCTTTGTCCAACTTCAGTCAAATGAATATGTCTAATGATTAGTAATTTGGCTTTACAGCATGTGGTATGGAGAGGATCGTCCTCGCTGGCTTGGTCCAATCTCATTCAAATATCCTACCTATCTCACCGGCGAACTACCTGGAGACTATGGTTTTGATGTTGCAGGTCTGAGCAAGGATCCAATAGCCTTGCAAAAGCTTTTTAAGTGAGTATGCCTAGCAATATTTGCACAAATCTGTTGTGTGATTACTAATGTTAGAGTTTAGATGGTGATTTAGTTAATTTTTCACTGAAGAGTTAGTAAATTTCTTTCTAAATTTCTAGATACCGTTGTCTTCTTTTAGCTAAACATTTATATCAACATTTGACCTTTAGCTTCATAGATGCATAGCAAAGAAGGTGGCTTCTGTATCCTTTCCAATTGGAATACATAAATGATTGAATAATACGACTCCTACTAAATCATTGATAAGAAGCCTTTCAAAAGGAAATTAAAGCAACATATTTTGATGATTTTACATGGGAACAAGCAGAAAGAAGAACCATTTCACAAAGAAGGCATCCTAGTCTTGGTTTACATAGTAATTATTATTTAAATCTCTGTTATGTTGCAGTTTTGAAGTACTGCATGCCAGGTGGGCTATGCTTGCTGCCCTTGGTGCTTTAATTCCAGAATTATTAGACCTAACAGGAACCTTTCATTTTGTGGAACCTGTTTGGTGGCGAGTGGGCTATTCAAAGCTCAAGGTTAGCATTTCTCATTTTTTGTATCTACATGAGTTAGACATTGTTACTTCCGCTTTCCTTCTTGGCCAACAATTTTTTTGACTAATTCTTTCATTAGAATTGGTGTAATTAACCATGCATCAGACTTAACTTGAGCCTTGTTCTTTTTCCATGTTTATTATTGTCCAAAAGTCCTATATTTAATCGCGATGAAGTTTTGATAAGCTAATATGCAGTGATAGCTTACATTGGGGCCAAACTAGAGCCTGACATTGTTCATGTTTCATACAATTTTAAACAGAGAAGAAATGTCCTTCAGTTCATTATGCAGGGTAGTACATATCAACACTTTTCCATGTAATTGACTCAACTTGGTGTCCATAAGGAGTTATAGTTAGGGTTCTTTCTTGAGTGATTGTCTTTTTAAACATATGGAGTCTGGAAAAAGGTTAGGTCTAAATGATTTTACTGTGAGCAATTCTTGTAAAGGTTCTGTTTTTATTGGATTCATTATGCTACCATGGACTTAGCTCTCGAAGAGGAGATGCACATAACTCTGTTTTCTTGCTTTACTAGTTTTGAGTTTAGTCTATGTTCTTTTCTTATAAAATGATGTTTTTAGTTAACATAAGATGCCTTTCAAATTCCTACCTCAAACATTGGTGTTTTTAGAGGGAAAATAAGTTATCTTTAACCTATATTTTATATTAGCAGAAATTATGAGCAGCATCTCAAGAGTCAGGCATGAGAATCCTTATTGGAGAATCAAATGTTTTTTGGTTTACTCTATTTTTGGGCTAGGCAATTATCTCCACCTACATAGTTTTAAAATGTGAGGATGAGAACCCTGGCTACGGAGAATCGACGTGTGTATTTTCGTATATGGTTTGTCAACTTATGGATGAATGATGTCGGAAAGGAGTGTCGGATCATGTAATAGAATAGTAAAGAGCGTAGTGGAAGAATTTTCTACAACAGTCCTTTGGAAGAAAAAGAGAGAAATATATACTAAGGCTGTCCTGGACGACTTGGCTAGGAAAATAACATGAAAGGACCCAAAAGACAGCCAGGGAGAGGATGCACAAATCCGCCTAATATAGGTTTTTAAGGAAAAATGCTTATATTATCCTTTGCTACAAGGTCAATTAGTGCCTTCTCCTGAATTCTTTCCAAAATTTGAACAGTATGGTATGCGGTAGAACTTTTCGGGGAGAAAGTGGTGCACCACCTCAAAATAGGCTTCTTGTTCACTTGCTAAAGTCAAGTGCCACACGCTATATAAAGTGACCCCAACACAGAATGTTTTTGGTTGATAAAATCTTGTGATGGTAAGTTTAGAATGCTGAAAAGAACAGAAAAAGATTTTAACTTTGACTACTAAACGCCAGAATCTAGGTAAAATACAATTTTAACAATTTAAAGATCAATTGGGCATATTCAACTCTCAGCGCTCAATTATATATCCTCGATGCAAAATGAAGGAACGAGGTGTCTATGCTCAGATGCACCATGTTCACCACGTGAAAACAAGGCAAGATGAAAGGAATAATTGGTAATTCTGGCATGCCTAAATCGACAAAATGCATTTATTTCAATTTATTAATAAAGACGTGTTTCTGGGAAAGAAAATGTGGTATTGTTATTCCTCGTAAATAATTGTATGATTTATGTAGTTCACTTGAATTTCTGGACCTTCCTTTTTTTTTTGGTAAGTATGTTATCTTCTATCTGTTTGCTCACCAGGGTGATACATTGGACTATCTTGGCATCCCTGGTCTCCATGTGGCTGGAAGTCAAGGAGTGGTTATCATAGCCATATGCCAAGCCCTTCTAATGGTAATCACATACTCTCTTAGAATACATTTGTTGTTCATCATTTTAAGTTTATCTTTGAGAATGATAATTATCACTGATGCGATATGACTGCCTCCTGTTGAAGTGGTCTGAATGGTTGGATTATATTTGTGACACCTCCATCCACATTCATGATATTAATTGGCATATTGGATTACTGTATATCATGACTATAGCCCAGCTTGAACCAGACATGTTGGGATGTGACAATTACCCAGTGTGATTCTCAAAAAAAAAAAAAAATTAATAAAAATACATTGAATAATAATTTGTTCTTCCTATAATTGTTCTAAACGTTGCTAATGTCCCTAGTACATCATACAAATAAACATTTATAATTACAAGCCTTTATTAGACATGGGAGAAAGTAAAAAGATATTCTATTCTATCCAAATCACTCGCATTCAAGTGTAAGTAGCAGAAGGCAAAAGGCTCAATTTTCATCTTGCTGTGCCCATGCCGCAATATTTTTCCATGTTCCTTTAGGCTCAGTCTTCTGTCTTCCTCATGCTTTCCTATATCAATCAGTCCTCCTTTATGTCCCCTACTTAAGAGAATGTTTTTTTATCACTACTTCCATGTAGCCCATAGACCTCAGTCCCTCATTGTCTTCCCAAGTCCTCTACTGTTATAAACCTTGAAAGGACCCCTCACCATTTGATATGGTAACTTCCATAGAAATAACTAGTGATCCAAGTGTCCCTTCTTTCATAGCCCCTTATCGTGGCTCATATCAAGTTAGTACCACATTGGTGCAGTTCTGGTTAATATTATTTAAATGGTGAATCTTATATCCGTACTTCTTTCCTTCCTCTTTACCTCAATAATATGCTTTTCGGGAATACATCAATTGTG